AGCCCTGACTGACCCCCCGGGGCTGATGGGTGGGGCCAAAAAGGGTTGAATTGACTGAAATTTCAAAAATCTTCTTCTCAAGACCCAGATATGGTAGAATCAAATACTCTTCATAGATGGAAGGGTCTTAAGGTGCTGTACCAAATTTGTGAATTTCATGACCCTGGGGTTTCACGTTTCCCCCTGGGGAGGGGTTAATCTTTACTATAGTTTACATTGGGAAATCATATTTTGGACTAACATTTGTTTAATTGCCATTGGAAGTAATTCAATTTAGGTTAGCATTATCAGTATTGGGTAGCAGTTTGATAGTATGCACATATCAGCCCTGACTGACCCCCCGGGGCTGATGGGTGGGGCCAAAAAGGGTTGAATTGACTGAAATTTCAAAAATCTTCTTCTCAAGACCCAGACATGGTAGAATCAAATACTCTTCATAGATGGAAGGGTCTTAAGGTGCTTCACTAAATTTGTGAATTTCATGATCCTGGGGTCTCACGTTTCCCCCTGGGGAGGGGGTTAACTTTACTATAGTTTACATAGGGAAATCACATTTTAGACTAACATTTGTTTAATTGCCATTGGAAGTAACTCAATTTGGGTTAGAATTATCAGTATTGGATAGCAGTTTGATGGTATGCACATATCAGCCCTGACTGACCCCCCGGGGCTGATGGGTGGGGCCAGAAAGGGCAAAATTTGTTATGGTTTATAATGGCAAATGATACTTTGAATATTACATGTTGATAACTTGATTGGAATTATAACCCTAAGTTGACAGTTTGATACTTTGTAAATTTTGAGCCATCCCTACCCCCAAGGGCTGTAGGGTGGGGCCCAATGGAGTCTGTGTGCTAAAATAAAATTTCTTCATTTTCCTTGTTTAGAATCAGAGGTGCTAGTTTCAAATACTTTTCAGTCTTAAATCTGCATGCTAGATATTGAATTAGGGGTTTTTATTGTTTTTTGTCACTTTGAATAATATTTCTGTTCATGTTAAAAACAAAAATCAACTCTCTGTATAAATATATCAGGTGACCGTTAAGGCCCATGGGCCTCTTGTTTTATCCCTTATTGAAAATACATCAGTGCAGAATGATGTCTTTGAACATTTATACAAATAGAAAGCTGCAGAATGGGAGAAAATCAATGCATGTGTACGTCAGTATTTGACTCGTTCATAAATATTTTATGTGTCAACTATTCTCCGGTTCAACCTTAAGGTTATTGTGAAATAGAACCGTCTATTATATCTTCACCATCATTGTCGTTTGATACCAAACACTTACTCTTACACTGTACCCACCCCACCTGCACAGTGTTGTATGTCCAGGATGTGGTAGAAAGGTATTTTAGGCTGGTTATGTCACTTTTAATACTCAATTATTACGTCTTTACAATTCTTATCCTTAGTGTATCAGTACTGTAAAATGGTGAATTCTGTTTGAACAAATTTGCTGTCTTGTCTCCCCGGGCGGCGTCATGGAGGGGATATCATAAGTGTTTCATTTGTTTGTATAAGATATGTATGTGCAACGTTTTGGATCAATCTAGCGACTTCATTTCTGAATAGCTTTTGATCAAACATCATACAATAGTCAAGTATTAAGGGATACTGCAAACAAGTTTGTGTTTCAGGGGGTTCAAGGTCATCTTAACTATTTTTATAAGATTTATTTCATCTTTTAGGCAGCTTTTGTGTTTCTGAACAGATTTTGATCAGACTTCATACAATATTAGTTCTATGTGTAAACATTTTAATGAGAATACATGGAGGTTTTTTTGTGCCAAGGTCAAAGACACTGCATGCCCACTATTTATTACTCAAGTGACTTTCTAAATTCTTCTAAAGAAAACTTTGATGTGGGGAGAGTGATAGTTTTTTGTCACTATGTATTAGATGACAAGATGCAAAGTACATATACTTGCCAACTCTCCCTACTTACAAGGGAGACTCCCCATTTTGGGCCTTAAATATGATTTTTCCAGTCAGTGAATTTGCTGAACTATATTCCTTTTCTAAGATCTAATAGGATTTCATCTGGAAATATGTCAAAATGTGTCATGTGAAAAGATTATTGTGCCCCTATGGTATATATATACACATTTGATTTATGGTTTTGATTTTTGAGCTCGTGAAATCTCTCTTCAAAATAGACTTTTGTGCACATGAGGGATTTTTCATTTGTGTGCAATACCATGTTTTAATTACTTGTGTCATAGAAAATATAAATCAGTTACAATAAATACTCCATGAAAAAAATTGCTTTTTAATGTACTGGTCATGTAATTGCTCAAACAATAGTTTTAAACCTCTGGCAAGCTCATCTTTCTGTTGGACAGATATTTACTTTTTCAGCAGCCATATGTTGTTTAAAAATTTGTGTATGACTAATCAACATCAGGAGATTCTCATATCTGAATGGGTAAAAACGCATTATTTTGGAGG